ATACACAGGCAGCCTATGCCGGTTGTATCGATGATAGGAAAAGTACCTCAGGCTATGCCTTCATACTTAGCAATGCAGTTGTGGCATGGTCATCAAGGAAGCAACCTATAGTCACAGTCAGCACCACATAAGAGGAATTTGTAGCTGCGTCAGCCTGTGCCTGCCAACTGATTTGGATGAAGAGGGTTATGTCCAAGTTAGAGAACAACGGAAACAAAAGTCCGGTGATTTTTTGTGACAATAGTTCTACCGTCAAACTTTCAAAGAACCTGGTTATGCATGGCAAGAGAAACATATCGATGTGCGTTTTCACATCCTCCGTGATTTATTAAATGAAGGAAAGGTTCAACAGAAGTATTGCGGCACTAAACAGCAGATAGATGATATCTTTACTAAGCCGCTCAAGCTTAAAGTCTTTCAAGAGCTGAGGAAGAAGCTTGGTGTATGTGACATCTCAGAGATAAACTAGACAGTCTAGTTTAGGGGGAGAATTGTTAGGATATTATTGATTGTTAGGTTATTATTAAATGTTATTTGTTATTTGACTTAGTCTGCACTGATTGTGAGAGAATCGTGCTTGCAGTTTGTTACCTTTGATTATGCCTAAATTGTAGGGAGTCTAGTATTGCTTAGTGGCCCTACTTCCTAGCCACTACTTAGGAAGTATTCAGTTTCTTTTGTAAGCTATTTATATAGCAGCATTACTTTCTAATAAAACAGTTCAGTTATCATATTTGTTAACAAATATGTGTTGGAATTTCACTAAAGACTTTCATAATTCAAAACATATCCTCTTTCTCCCCTTGTAAAACCGTCTGCCCCCATGTGCCAATCTCCACTTCTTCTTCTTTTTTTCAACCTTGTTTTTTTAAATAATAGGATGATGGGTATAATCAAGGAGACTTCGATGGAGTTTAATCCCGAAGGAGTTGACTAGAGAACCCCCACTCAATTGAGGCCCTCTTGGAAGTAATAGTGTTGAACGAGCCATTGTGGATGCAGTGTTACTTTCAATCAAGGAGCTTGTGATACTGAGGACCATTAGATTATCTCTTTACCCCACTTTGGCCGTGTTAGGATGTAGTGCGATGACTATGAGAGTGTAAACCCAAAGTAGTTGATACGCGATACTACACTCAGACGAGACTCTCTTGAGAATATTATTTATTCCCGAGTTAATTAGTGTCCCGATAATATCCGAAATATGGGTTGTTGACTTTGGGCACTATTTAGAACCTTGTTCTGCAAAGATGAAAAAACCCTTAGTACACACCTTTTGGGATGGATAGACCATGGCTCCATGCTCGTGATCTTCAAACCTAGGCCCTTTTTTGTTTTCCTATACATATGTGTGAATATGTGAATATGTGTATACGTGTGTTTGTGCATACATCCATCCATACATTCCCGCATCCATGAGTAGCCCTTTGGTTTTAAGGAATTAAGTTGTTCTTTCCTTTGCAAAAATAAATAGATATCATGGTTTATGAGATGAAACTTTTCAGTTTTTCAAAAATGATTGCAACTTCCTTTTGAGTTCCTTGAAACTATTTGGCTTGCATTTGCATTTTCATTTCTCAGCCTTGAGTTTTGTCTGTCCTTTGTCCATAAACTAGTTGAATTCTCGATACCAGCATTGGACTTGAAGTAGATTTTGAAGGATCATGAACTCAGGAGAGCAGAACCAGTTTGTGACAAGAGCGGATGTTGAATTGATGAAAGATTAGTTGGATCAGCTTATGGAACCTATGCCAGCCTTGGCAAAGCGAGATGACTATATTCAAGGGACTCTAGTGAACAGTTTCTCAATCTCAGCCTGTGCAGATTTCTGTTGAGAACCAGGGTATACAAGAACGTACCATTGTCCAAGATGGACATTCCACTTCTGTTGATGCCATGGAATATCGTAGTTTTACATTCTCTGAGCTAGATTTCCAAGAGGTAGTTCCTGTGATGACAACCAAGGACCCACGAGACATTGAGATTATGGAAAGAAGTCACGTGGTGGAAGAGAAGCTTAAAGCCATAGAGGATCGTGATGCTCTTAATTTAAATTCTTTGAACATGTGTTTGGTACCCGACTTTGTAATACCTCCAAAGTTCAAGACACAACAGTTTGAGAAGTACAAAAGGGATAGTTGTCCAAAGCAGCATTTGGTGATGTTTTGCAGAAGAATAACCTTGCATGTCCACGACGACAAGCTTATAATCCACTGTTTCCAAGACAGTCTGAATGAGGCATCACTTAATTGGTACATGCAATTAGAGAGTGTTTATATCCAATCATGGCCAGATCTAGCCAATGTCTTTGTGAAGCAATACAATTACAATCTTGACATGACTCTCAACCGTCTGAAGTTGCTAGGTTTATCTCAAGAGGATAATAAATCCTATAGAGGGTATGCTCAGAGGTGGAGAGAAGTAGCTGCTCGTGTTCAACCACCACTCTTGGATAGAGAATTGGTCGACTTGTTCATGGATACTTTGTAAGGCCCATACCTGGAAAAGCTATTTAGCAATTTTATATAAAACTTCTCTGACTTGATAATAGTTGGAGAGCACATCGAGAGTGGTCTCAAGAGCGGAAAAATCTAAAGCACCTGGAACATCCCAGCTAGTGAGAGTGAATCAGTTGAAAGTTATCAAGAAGAATGGGAGGAAGAAATTAATTCCATCTGGGAATTTTCGAAAGTTCAAGACATCGCAATTCAGAGGGATAGTTGTCCAAAGCAACATTTGGTGATGTTTTTGCAGAAGAATGTACTCGCATGTCCGTCACGACAAGCTTATGATCCACTGTTTCTAAGATAGTCTAAGTGGGGCATCATTGAAATTGTACATGCAATTAGATAGTGTTTGCATCCAATCACGACTAGATCTAGCCAATGCCTTTATGAAGCAATACAACTACAATCTTGACATGGCTCCCAGCCGTCTGCAGTTGCTATGTTTATCTCAAGAGGATAATAAATCCTTCATAGGGTATGCTCAGAGGTGGAGAAAAGTTGTTGCTCGTGTTCAACCACCACTCTTGGATAGAGATTGCTCGTCTTGTTTGTGGATACTTTGCAAGGCCTGTACCTGGAAAAGCTATTTAGCAGTTTGATATCAAACTTCTCTGACTTGATAATAGTTGGAGAGCGCATCGAAAATGGTCTCAAGAGCGGAAAAATCCAAGGCACCTGGAACATCCCAACTAGTGAGAGTGAATCAATTACCAGTTCTCAAGAAGAATGGAAGGAAGAAAGTAATTCCATCTAGGAATTTCTGAAACCTCAACATCAACACTCATGCATCTCAATTGATCTGAGTCACAAATATTTTGGTTCTCCGTGTCAGATACCATTCTCCCCACAGGAACAATATTCTTCTCCAAATCGAAGACCTCCTCAATATCAACGGTCATACTGTCGTCAGCCGCAACAACACGCCCGACAAAGGCCAAGGAAGCTAGAGAGGCATATCGCCTCGTTACCAATTTCATACAGTCAGGTCTTACCAGATTTAATCAAAGTTGGATTGATAGTGCCAAAGAAGATAGATCCAATGATCCATCCATACCCATCAGGCTTTGATGCCAATGCCCGATTTGGTTACCATGTTGGGGCACATGGACATTCAAATGAAGACTGCAAGGTGCTCAAGTGCAGGGTTTAGACTCTGCTTGACTCCGAGGTGTTCTCATTCATGCCTCAAGGCATTCAAATCATCAAGCCTTCACCCAATCAGGCGGGTCCATCAGTCCATGTTATGGAAGAAATTGTTGAGAATAGATATGAAGATGATTATTAGACTGATCTCGACAATCAACTTTGAAGATGTCTAGCTCAGTGGAAAATCAAGAATGGAAAGCCCAGTCCCCGAAGCTGGAAATCTTTTGGCTCATGTCTTTAATTTTATCATTTTTATAGTTTCTTTTCTGTTAAGTGCTACTTGTTTTGAGACATTGTTGTTTAAACATGGTTTTATTAATGGAATAAATATGCATGTTTTGATTAAATCCATTCGTGTTCACTCATACTTTTAATATAAAACGCTTGTTTAAGAAAAATTTCGAGGGAGGATGATGAAATTGAAAGACACAAAACCTCCAATAGTATGCTTTTGAATAAAACCTGGCTAATGATGTACATGCATTATTTCAAATCCCCCAAACACTGGAAAGATAAGGAGTTAGTCCCTAGTTAACCACTTTCACTACAAGAAAAAAAGAGATTTACGACACTTGAGTTGCGACAGTTATCACAAAATCGTCCTTATTCCTGGATTGCGACGGTTGTCACGACAGTTAGGGTCAATTGTCGTAGATATTTTGCGACAGTTATAAAAAAACTGTCCTTATTCCTGGACTACGACAGTTCTCACGACGGTTTGAGCCAACCGTCGCAAATTTTTTAGACATGTTGTATAAAATAATGCGACAGTTACCAATGAACCGCCCTCTTTCCACACTCGCGACAGTTAGGGCGAACTGTCGCAATTACTTTAGCCAATCATAATCACTATTTTTTTTATTCCTTTAATTTTCTATTTTTTTCTTTCATTTTTATTTTTTAACCTTTTCAATTTTATTAATTAATTTAATAAATAATTATTATAATTATTATAATTTTCATGACAATGTAGCTTAATATTTTTTATCTAAAATAATAGTAAAATATTTTCTGTTTTATTATATAAATAGTTAACTTTTACAATGTTAATATATATATATATATATATATATATATATATATATATATATATATATATATATATATATATATATATATATATATATATATATATATATATATATATATATATATATATATATATATATATATATATATATATATATATATATATATATATATATATATATATATATATATATATATATATATATATATATATATATATATATATATATATATATATTGAGTTTTATAACAACGCTCCTTTCTCCATTTTTGAAACTGTCCAAATTTGAAATACTGAAACACAATCACAACATAGCAATGCCTCCAATTCCGAGGAACAACAACAATGCGCCTTTCTCCATTTCCACACTTTTCATTTTCTTCGTCGTCATCTCCATTTTCTCTCTCGCTTTCTTTTTCTCTTCCTCCACCACCACCACAACCATCTCACACCGTTCTCTCCCTCTTCAACCCCTCACCTCTTCCGGCATCAACGTCTACGTCGCCGACCTCCCCAAATCCCTCAACTACGGCCTCCTTAACCGCTACTGGTCCTTCGACGCTGATTCCCGTATCGGCAGTGACGCAGACCGTGAAATTCGATCCACCAATTTGGGTAAAACCCTAGAAATTCCACCGTATCCGGAGAATCCAATTTTTAAACAGTATAGTGTGGAGTACTGGATCATGGGGGATCTTATGACTCCTCCTCGATTACGATCTAGGTCGTTCGCAAAACGGGTTCTTGACGCACGTGACGCTGATGTGGTCTTTGTTCCATTTTTTGCTACTCTGAGCGCTGAATTGCAACTGGGTACGGCTAAAGGAGTCTTCAGGAAGAAGGCTGGGAACGAGGATTACCAGAGGCAGAGGGAGGTTATTGATTTTGTGAAGAAAACTCAAGCTTGGAACCGTTCTGGTGGTCGAGATCACTTGTTTGTTATCACTGATATGCATGTTTCCTCCTCTCGAAATCTGTAACCTTGTTTATTGTTGTTAAAGTTATGAAGTTTAGGCCCTATTTGGTAACATAAGCTCTTATCATGTAAGTGCTTATGCAATAAATACTTGCATAACAAAAAATAAAATAATTTCAAACTGTCTTCATATAAGTTATAATTTGATATCACTAGATAAACTGTTTCCATAAGCTATTAGGTTAATGCGTGTATAGACTCAAGCTGAGATTGTTTTTGTGTAGGGGTTGTTTTGATATGTAGTGTGTTTCGGTGTTGTCTCGAGATCTTCATAATGTTTGCATAACAATATAAAATGTAAATTTGATATGTAACATTTGATGTGTCTAGGGTTAATTTTCTTTGTTTTTGCATCAATAATTCGCTCTAAACAACATGAATATAACTTTAGCATGCAGGTACTATGAACATATACTGAAGATGAATTCCTATTTATGTTTATTGAATGCCCAAAACTGTTTCAATGCAGGAGCAAGTAGGCACAGCTGCAGACGGGTCTGAAGAAACTGTTTCACTTTTAGAGCGCAACAGTTCATTTGGAGAAATATATATTCTTTGCAACATTCCTCAACCATATTCTGTCCGTGTTTGTGAACTATGTAGGGTCCTGTGGCTAGATAAATAATCATTTTCAAATATCCTAGATATATACTTTTATGATGGGAAGAAAGTATAAGACAACCTTGTAGAGGTAATTGTGTCATTTATATTAGTTTTGACATCATTTCCCCTTTAATAGAGTCTCTGAGATGAGTTAAATATATTATGCTACTATTTAGACTCTAGTTGAACATGGCAGAGATGTGCCAGTTTACTCATTTTTGGATTATACAGTTTTATTATATTTTGATCACGAGACATCTAAATATCTCATTTTTATAGGGAAACGAGTCTATTAGAGGTAAGCAATTGGAGTTAGATATCCCATTTCATATTGGAAAGCTAGAATCTGAACTTGCTTTGAAGGTCAATAGAGCAGCTTTTGATGGTGATATGTATCAGCTAAAAATTTTGATTCGAGCTGGAGCTAAAAAGCTAGATTATGATGGAAGGGCACCTTTGGTAATGAGCTTGAAACTTTTTACTATGATGTCATTTTATCTATCAATTTCCTCTGTTTCATCTATGATGTGGTGGTTAATTAACTTGAAACATTACTGAATCTGAGACATCCAATTTGGAACTTTTCTTTCATACAGCACATACCATTGTAAGTCCCTATGGGTCCTACTAAGTAAACACAACATGTTTCCAGCTTATGATATTAAGTTCTCATGTATGCTCTCTAAACAATTTCCAGTGGAGGTAAGAAACTTTAACAACCTATGATGTTTTAATGTTCCACATACATCTCTTCTCTTATTTGTGTGTCATTTAGTCACGTGACATTGGTTCTTAAATAGTATCTCACTTTTGCAAGGCTTGAAAAATACTTTCATAGACAACTCTTTTACTCTAACTATGTATGCCTAATTCATTTTATTGGTTTCATTGTGGTTTGAATTTGAAATAACCTGTGTTGCTTATAAATTAAAATTTATTGTTGTAAAAACTGAAAACTCTATTTAATTGATTTTTGTAGGCTCATTTGTCGCCTGAGATTAACTTATTGTTTTAAAGGATGGACTATTTGAAATGATTTGGCTTCTTGGAATTGAAAAGTGTTACTGGTAATTTTACTAAGTTATAATTTTTTAAGAGTGGTTTCTTGTATCATGAGGTACAGAAGTGTCGAGAGAAAAGTAAAGGTATGGAGGTTTTATTGACTTTGGTTTTGGTTATGAATATTTTTTATAGTATAAATTTTCTTTGAGGTAGTAGTTGCATAAAGATAAATACTAGTGGCATGAATTCTTTTAAGAATATGGGCTCCAATTATCATGATGAGTAACATGGAACAAGAATTTGGATTGACAAACTTTATCTCATTCCATTGCTTTTTCTTACATATTTTTGTGTCTTAATTCATCGTATTCTTAATTGTTTCTTTAATATAGGTTTATTTAATGGAATACTCAAATATGATATGCCATTTATGCCACTTTTATTTGGAGGGATTATTGGAGCCTTCGGCTATTTGGGTGAAGGTATGTATATGTAGATGTAGCTAATCTATTATAATAAGTTACATTATATTTTTGTAGTCCACCTTATGGGATTTATATCCCCCAAAATATAATTTTTTTTTTGCAGTATTAAACTATCTTTCTTCTCAAAAGATTTGACTATTTTTGTGATGTTGACAGTACTAAAAATTTATATTGATGTTATTCTTTAATGTTAATTATAATCTTTTTAAACATTTTGCATTTCTTAGATCTTAGATAAGAAAACTTGGAAAGCTCTGCTCTGTATTTCATTCTATACCACTAGCTTTCAGTGAAAGCTTTTGGACTGGAAGAAACAAAAATAATATACAAGTGGAATTGGTACTTAATTTCATGTTTCAAAATGATGTTCTTATTATCCATGATGAAATAATATGACCACATATATTCTAGCTGGAAATTAGAAAGAATCTTACCGGTGGAGTTTCTTTTACAGGATGATGAATATGAAGGAGATAATATTGCATACTCCTCTCAGGTTTAATATGAGTATATAAATTTTATGAGAGAATAGGATCTCATTTGCAACAGGTTCAATTCTAATTGCTTCTTCCCTAACATTATTATACATGTAAAGAGATTTACATTGATAATCTATTAATGTTAATGTGTAGTGAAGTTCCCTAATATCAATTGTCATTTTGTTTATACTTATGCTGACCGTGTCTATATCAATTATCATTGTGTCTATACTTGTTATAATGTTGGCGTAGATCGTGGGCACTATTTAGTGGAGACTGTTTCACTTTTGGTGGCACTAAAAGTACGTTATAGGGATAGAATTACAATTCTCAAGAGAAATCATGAGAGTCGTCAAAATACTCAAGTGTAAGAACACTTTCTTCTAGAATTATTCATTATTATTTGTGTATGTAAAACTTATCATGTTTAAGCTGAAGTTGCATGATAATAATACCTGCTAGAAGTTTAAGAATAAGTTAATGGTGAACATCTCCAATTTTTCTATTCATTGGATCGGTGTTATAATACTTTTCCCATTTGCTTCATCTATCTCATCGCAAAATTCAATGATGGACATCTCTAATTTTTCTATTCATTGGGTCAGTGTTATAATACTTTAATCATTGATGTTGGTGATATGTTTCCTCTTACATAACTTTATTTGATAGGACAATGTTGCTCTTATCATTAAAGTTGGTGTTTTATGAGTTTTATGGAACACATTTAAATATTTTTTCCCGTATTCATGAGCTTAATTTTTAATATACCTTATAGGTCTGATGCTCACTCAAGTGGAGAACGTGAAACTCAAAGGACCATGTTAGAGTTATTGAACCAGCTAGATGGTTTTAAGGATACACTCAAAAAGGCTTTGAAGGAGAAGAAATGTTTTCTGCATCTGCTAATAGTTGCATTGAGTGTTGTGTGGCTCAATTTGTTGAAGCATCTGCAGCAAATGAAAAAATTTTGTGTTTATTAGGGAACATCAGTTAGGTTAAAGGTTTTAAACATGTATTTATGTTGCTAAAGTATAAATATTTTCTATGTGAAGAGATGTTGATTGAGAAAGTAAATTTGAGTATTGAAATGGATGGTATTTCTAATTTGAAAATTTGTGAGTACTAGAGAATGATCTTAAACTGTTTGTTCCTATAAGGAACCACTACAAGCCAAGCCACTGCAAGTTTGTTAATGAAGGACAATGCATTTTTAATTTAAGAAACTATTTTTTTTTTAATTTTAGAAATATATTAGCTGTGGAATTACCTGCGAAATAATCATATCCTACAGATTTACCTTTGGAAATACCTGCGGTTTTATCATTGGATAAAAAAACAAAATTATTTAATGGCAATTGTAACCGCCGCAATTTTCAATTTACGTCAGTTGCTTGACCGTCGCAACTCAGAATGATGGCAGTTTAGCCTAGGGCATGCGTTTCCGTGACAGAAATAAAACCGTCATGACTAGCAATTTGTGGCGGTTTAAACCGCCGTAACTTACCAATATTGACCGTTGTAACTTGCCCATTTTTTTGTAGTGAATGATAACAAAAATCAAAAGGATATTCACGACAGTATTTAACTGTTGCAATTTCCAGTTTATCTCAGTTCCAACCAGTCGCGAAATAGAATTCATGACAGTTTTAAACCGTCACAATCAACAATGAAAACAAAAATCAAAAGGCTAGTAACGATGGTATTTAACCGTCGCCATCTCCAGTTTAGGTCAGTTCCAGCCCGTCGTGAAATATAACGACGGTTGGCGTGACGGTTTTGGCAACCGTCGCTAAATAGCCTGGGAACGCACGTTTCTGCGACGGTACTACGACCGTCGTATAATGTAATTAATGGTGGTTTTAACCGTCGTAACCTGCCAAAATAACCGTCGTAATCCATTATTTTTCTTGTAGTGTTTGAGCCTAGAAGTAGGAGTTCCCTTCGGATTTCTAAACCCTTATGGTAAACCTGGGGCATGGTAGTGTTCAGGTAATCTGATCATGTAGATGTGTCAGTTGTTTTTCAATGACCAATGTCTTGGCAGTCATAAACCTTCCAAAAAAATCAAGAAAAAAGAGTTGAAAGCCTGCTAATTCGAACACCCAAAGAGGAGACTTAGGCAAAATCAAGGCAATCTCGATGGATTAAGAGCTTCAAAATCATTCCAAGCAAAAGTAGGGATCAAAACAGAAAAATCTAGTGAAAGAGGTCCTCAAATCCTCAGTCAAAAATAAGATTCAATGACCATCATGTCAAAAATCAAAAGGTTACTCACATCCATGGCCAAAAACAAAATAAGGTGACTAACATTTCAAAAATCTTGAATCATCATCTTCACTTTTACACTGCCAAACTCTAGATGCGCGTGTTAAGTTAGCTAAACGCAGAACTGGAGAATATCAAGGAGAATGGGTAGGTTAAAACAAAAATTTGAG